AAGTAGTGAGATGAATTCTCACCTGTGAATCAAAAGCCCTGTTTCCGTTTGCTCTGTTGGCCGACCGCTCGTTTAGTCTGTTGTTCGAACCACGCGGGTTGTGCATGTAAATATCAGCACTGACACACGCGACTGCGAGGAGGCAGCACGCTAACTTCAGCATTTTCCAAGTCCTGATAATTTTTTTCCTCTCTTGAAACACAGTCGTCGAGGTCCTCTAGTCGGTGCGTATAATGTAACAAAAGCCACCAGGGTGATTAGATCGACTACATTTAAGGCTCAGGCCGAGTCTGCACGTGATTGGCGATTCCATATATGGAAGTTGGAGTTGTATTCATCCGCGGTCTCACTGCGTGGACATCAGTTGGTTATGACGTCATACAAGCGATAACGATCATTATGACCGTCTTTCAGGATGTGATCGTAATCTCCCGCACCAATCAAACCAACAGCCGGTAGTGCGGGTAGAAAACTAAAATCAACCGACTGAGATAATTATTGTCTTTGATGCATTACATTGCCAGTCCTGTATTACGGTTTGCTGAGTAGATAGCGCTGACACTCGGAGTCAGGATTTGGTCCGTGGCCAGATGACGTAGCAGAAATTCGGGATAGAAGGAGGAACTAGTGCATAGATAAAACATCGAAAAACAACTGGCAGTGGAGATAATTTGATTATTTCTGCTTCTTTCATAATGTATAAATATTCATATCTCCTGAAGAAGATACATTCCATTATCAGTGCACACAGTAAGGATCTGCATCCAGAGGTTTCTAAATTAAACTTTATTTTCACCATTTACAGACTCATTTCAGCTCCTAAATCCACGATTAAAACTTTCCGGTTTAGCTTTACATGTATCAATGGGTTGCATGACTTAATGTTATAAAGCAGAATGAAACAGCACTTTTTAGCACAGTTTTATACATAAACTCCCTATTCCAATACAGCAAGGGTGGGGGAGGGTACACTTTATCATAGTGCACCCTCTGGTGCTCGTACATGGAAGTTCCCGTGACTGAAAAACAAGATCACATTAGCCTTACCAAGGTGATACAAATTAAAAATAATCATAGATGTAGGTGGCACGTGTTAAGTACGTGTATTTGTTCACTGCCTTACATTAATTACAGTTCACAACTGGCAGCTTGTGATTATCAACAGTCAAGAACTAAATTGGAACAGGGCATCTTTTATTTTCAATCTCAGTGTTGCGCAAAGACGAAATACTGGTATCAAACCCGAAGCAAACGGTACTTGTACTGATAATTAGAGTAACAGCTATTTACTGGTTCTGGGATGAAATGAGGCGGGTAGGACCGGTTTCACATATTGTTTGAAACCTGAAAATTGACAGCCGGCAATTTATTACGGTGGTGCATGAATGGTTGAGTGAATGAATTAACAAAAATAATAAAAAGGTGGCAAGTTGGCTGAGTAAAATAAAATCGCCACCATTGATCAGTTGGTGTTAGAAGTTTACATAACACTTTGGAAAATGAAAAATTTACTATTGATGATATCACCAAAAAACCTTAATGATAGCAATGGTCATCCACGTCTCTGTGTATTCAATCCTACCATGAGGCAAAAAAGCAACAGATGTTACCTTATACATTTGATCATAATCAATATCATAATTTGATATTTTTGCGTTATTTGATTTATCATATTTATAAATTAATTCATATTTCTAGACGTTTGTGATCATATGCGGGATACTCAATTGATATATCACATGATAGGGTTATTTTCATTGATATTTATTTTTTTTCCCGAATTTTCCGATTTATTGATGATTTTTTTAGCGGAAGAGCAGGTGACAGTGAGGCATGTCATGAACTGCCAACCACATTTAACAAAACAAAACCGCTGCGGTTTTTACCAGTTATATCTATGAATCAAATCTAAAAATGATTGACCCGTTTAAAAAACATATCGACCCTTTGCGTGGCGTAATTCCTTTTATTTATGTTTCGGACTAATCTTAAGATTGTAAGCAAAGATATCTTATTCTTCAGTGATACATGAAGCAAAGGTCACGTAAACAGAATTATGAGAACACCTGGTTTTTAACCCTGATCAATTGCCTATAAATTAGAGGAAGATGGTCATAAGTTAGGGAGATTATCGACGTAGTGCATGGAATTTACATGCGACCGCCATATACACATCTGTGTTGCATAATATACAAATGGACGATAATGATATTTAATGGTATAAGATAAACCGAAATACTGAAGTAAAGAGGCTGATTTAGTGAACGCTAATGGATGCGATGACAGCAGTTTTCATTTCATGAACTTGTGGACCCTCAGATGTAAGACCCGTTCACATTTATAAAAACATGTTTGGCTGTGACTCTTTATAATCGATACGTGTTTCTGTATCCTGTGATTAATAAATAAAAGTGGGCTGTATAAAGTAAAGGATGCCAGTTTTATATTAGAATGTTTTTTCAATGTGTAGATATTCAGCATGCATTCGAAACAGCATCGGCTATTGTAATGTTATTCATTCACTACATTCAAGCACGCAAATATTCAAACATGCACACACACACACACACACACACACACACACACACACACAGAGAGAGAGAGAGAGAGAGAGAGAGAGAGAGATTGCAAGCAGGACGTCTTTCCAGAAAACATGACGTAATAAATAGTTGATTACGTCTAATGCAGAAAAAAAATCGAGTTAAATCGAGTCTCGAAAAACTTTTGCGTGGCATACTCTACAGCATCAAAATAACAAAAGGTTTGCCATTATAACAGATAGAAAAAAAGTTTGTTAAAAAGAAAACGGTTTGCAATCAGATCTTTTAACACATGCAGGTTAAAACAAGGCAACTTGTTGAATGAAAGATAATAATAACAGAAACAAAGTCACAACATCTGCAACTTTCTGTAGGAGTTTTATTCAAGTACTGGCATGCAATTTCGAAGTAAATGGAAACGACCATAGTGGCCTTATTTGACTTGGATGTAGAACTAGGTAAGCAAAATCATCAATCTCCATTCGCAAAAGTCTTATTTTTTATAAAAAAATTTCACCTATCTAAAATAAAAACGTAGAAATTTAGAAATAACATTTTTTATCAAAATAAGTCTTTTGCAAATTAAACTGAATGTTCGGGAACATTCTAAATATGGTCAACAATGATCAACACCTAACAGCGCAGATAAAGTCAAATACCTATGGCATTCTTCAGTAGCGTTAATATTGGCATCAAAGTTAAGCATGTTTTCATAGTTTATCGATTTCTAAGATCGTTGTACTTTTTTTCTCCTGTTCCTTTCGTATACAAAAGCGACATCGCTAAAACTGCGTTTAGACAAAAATGGCCGGAGCTCATTGCGTTATGCTATTTAAATATTCTGACCCTTATATTACTACTGCACTCAATTGGACTTTTTGAATGTTTTGTCTTTATGTGTATGTAATAATACAATTAAAGAAATCGAGCCTGGACATCAGAGAGAGAGAGGGTCATTTGGCATTTGATTTTGCCATTTTGCGAAATATTTCTATAAATTCATAAATTTAATTCCAGGCAAAATGCAGAATCTGTAAACAATATAGCGCACTATCAACTTCTATCTATAAGTTCCATACATTTTATATTTCATTGAGTCTTTTAAGTTTTCTTCATTGCGCAACTTCAGCCACTCTGTCTAAACGCAATAAAACGAGCCGATCTAGTCGTTCCCTCCGCCTCAACCCTGGTGCACGTGGACGGTCCCCTTTTGACTTCTGTTGGTGAAAGCGTTATTCCGGGAGCTCATGTAGTGATACGTTCCCTGGTTTAGACGCAGGACTACACCTTCGTAAGAAGCCGGAGCGTTGTCAAGTTGGGCATTAAGTTCATCCTTGTTCCCAACAACGCCGCTGCAATCATCCGTATCGCATCTGAAATTGCACATATCTAGCCATAATCTCACTGTGACTATTGAAACGGATTTACGGGTGCTAATACTGGACAAATAAATATTTTCAGATATGATCTCAAAAATTTATGATCAAATACATGTATTATTGTCGACAGAAGCGTCAAAATACTTAGGTGGCTACTATATTAATCCACCGTTAATCTCAATAGTCTCTTTTCTCCACATATTTTTATTTCCACACACACACACACACACACACACATACACACAAAAAGAAAAAAAAAAAAAAGGAGAGAGGAAGAGAGGGAGACGGAGAGAGAGAGAGAGAAAATACATACTCATAATATCCAGAAGTAGCCATATTCAAGGCAAGACCTTTAGCTGTTGATGCCGTGCTGCCATAGTATATCCATTTTACTTCTGCATTCTGCCAGAAGGTCGACTGCTCGAACGGCTTGGGGAAGTTGTGGTTCCGGTCCAAAAGTTCGACAAAGTTATGTCTGTCTGTGCCTAAGTATGATAGTAATATGACAAAAATTAGAAAAGTTAAAACAACTTTTGCGTGAAGTAAATTTTATAATCTTAAAGTTTAAGTCAGGGAATGTTTATGTGGAGAAAAAAGGTTTTAATATAAATTAAATGTAACTTACAAAGCTATATATATATATATATAACGTGCCCAGAATTAGCTATAATTGTTTGTGAATATCTAAAATGTTTGTGAATATCTAGTGACGACGATATATCTCTCTATGGCTCTGTTCTCACAACTTTTAGATCGATCTATCACCGCGGGGAGTCTCACTAGATTACTGTCAGATAATCCCCCTTAAGTGTCCGTCCCCGCCTACTACAAGCTTTAAGGGGTAATTAACTTTCGTGTCCGCCCGGCTGGCAGCTATTTAGCGTGAACCCCCAGGGAGTTAGGTCGATCCAATGTAGGTCGATCTAATCTATGAGAATGGGGTGTATGACCCTGGTAGAAGGCAGGCACTTACCGGCTTTGCCCTGTCCCGCATCACCCGTCTGGCCGTCGCCGCCAGGGGCGCCATTGTTGTGTGTGTTAGAGCCTGGAAAATTTGTTTAGAATGAAAAGCAGTATGAAAAAAAGCAAACAAGAATGATGAATAAATGATTCAACTGTTGAATAAAGATAGATATTTAAGGATTTACAAACGATAACATGCTTTTTTTTAATAACCAACAAAAATAATAGATAAAGGGATGTGAATCCCAAATAGTGTCAATGCATATAATACGCTTTCTTACCACAAGAAGGCAAGCAAAGTACATCGTCAAAATTTATGCAATGTTACAACCTACATTGTCGAAAAAAAGTTTCATATTAGAATATCAAAATATAGGAAAAATTAATCATCCGAATCATCATTTTGAATTTGACTATTACTGTTACTAATAGTTTCAATAATTTTTTTTAATACCTGTCCACTGAACGTGCACCAAGTCGTTTTCAGTCATGTGAAGTTCGGTGGGAATAAAATCGTACTCCACAGCCGGGTACGTTTGCACGATGTTTCCCCTCTTTCCGCGGACGTTGAGGTTGTGCAGCGTCCCTTGTATTTCTGCTGGGCGAGATCTGAGGATGAAGGCGTGTGAACGGTCCTGGAACACCCTGCCGAACTGGGCGGTGTTGATATTTAGGCGAAGAGGCGAGAGGCCGGCGCCGATGTCCACATTTGGGTTGTTGGTGACCGGAGAATTTGCGGCGCCGTTCTCTGTCGAGTCGGTGTTGTAGGGGTCGTAATCGTCAGTGGTGATGTTGTACCTAAAACAACCCACAGAAACTGTTGATTTTTTTGCCGTTTTACCATCGCAAAGTTCTGGCATTGCTCAACACGAAACTTTCTATTATTATAATTTCTAACAATTTCCAATTGTCAAAATAAAAGAATTTAATAAAATACCTAATTTTAATTATTAAAATAATTAAAATAGTAAATTGGTTAATTAAGTAATGATAAATGTATCATGGTTCCAATACCCACCTTATTCTGAAAACACATTTTTGATCTTGCCCGGAAGGAAAGTAAGGCAAAACCCAAGTATAGTTGAGAGGCACGCCGTCCTTGCCGTTACCATTATGATTAACTCTAAAACGTGTTAAAAGCATTGGTGTAATAGTATATTAAAACAAATGTGGTTGAGTACAAATGATACAATCCAGAGCAAAAATAAGAATTTCCACTTATGACAGAGAAAGATAAAGGAAAAAAGTCATTGGAAATAAATGCTGGCAAACAGTGATACAATTGAGCCAAAAACATAACTTTCATTGTTTCTTTTTTTATGCACCCGGAGATGTATTTAGCATCATTCAAAACACATAAGTAAGTAAGAAATAAACAGAATTCGGTATATATACGCATATATTTTCAGTTTACGTATATGATTGATTTACATCATTACATCGAAGTACTATTCATAATGATTACGAATCTGATAATCGCATCGCGATAATGTGAAACAGTTGTCCAAGTTACTCCTACGGATTTAATATTTTCCTTTTAAATTTTGTTAATTCTCTGTACAATGGACCTAACGTTATCGAGTAAAAAAATATCATCATCCAACCCTGTTTGAATTAGTAACTGTATATAATATGATAAAATCAACAAATTACATGGAAAGGAAAATGAAGAAAAAAAAAGGACTGGCGCAACTCGTACAGCACTGCCCGTGTGAATAGTAACGTCAACATCCCTACCGCGTTTTTTACGTAGCACACATTAATGACGCCGCTGTACTCATACCCACCTTGACCATGGCGCCTCCATGCAGTCGACTTCCGGTAGAGGGACGAGACATTTCTGTTCCGTAGTCCCAGTGACTGCATCGTATGGTACTGCCCACACGCGACCCGCCTCTTCACAGTCTGCCCGGTTATCCTCTGAAATATCCATATTCAAAGACATTAAAAATCCTAAATATGCAAATAAATATTGGTTAGCTTAAAATAGTCTAGACCCAAAGGTGAATGAAATTTTGGAGAGGCAAATAATAGTTATCATTTTAATAAATAAATAAATAAATAAATAAATAAATAAATAATATGGATAAGCTTAAAATAGTCTAGACCCAAAGGTGAATAAAATTATGGAGAGGCAAAATTGAAATGAAAATTATCATTTTTAATGTCCACTCACCAGTGGAGATTTCTAGATAGTTGGAGAATTCTACCCACTGGTGCCCAGCCTCCGTACAAGCATCGGGGTTGTTATATTTGGAAAAATGGCGGCCGCCCTCAACACACTCTCCGTATTTATGGGTGTTGAAACTCTTGCTTCTGTAATGTCTGGAAATAGAAATAATCAAATAATGTTTTATCAATATTTATGAATTTTTGGTACATGTATCTATTTATCTTTGGGCTAAGCTGTACCCAAGATTTGTTTTTTGAGTTTTGATAGGTAAGAAATGAAATGCACCTACAGTTAAGTAATGACATCGTGCGTATCTTTTTACAGTGGGCTTTAAAAGTCCTTGGACCGAAAGTTTTTTTGGCGGGGCTTTCAATTTAACTTGTACAATTTTAAGAGGCATACTCCACCTTTCAAATTAGTTAAAAGCTACTATCATAAAACATTTCTATCTATACATTACAATTGTGGGATTAAGACAGACCAGTTGAATGAGAATGAAATCAAAACTTATCAGAGTCATGTGTAAAATTTCATTTTCGTCTGACTTTATTCACTTAACACTATTCAAATAACTTTAATCATCTAATCGTCACGTTAAACTAGAAAGGTATTGTGAATAGTATATGCGACACTCACGTATCGCACAGGCTAGTGTTTTCTGCCAAGACAACGATATCCTTCCATGGAGTCGGATGCCAGTATGGGTAGTAATCTCTCTCCTCGGGGCACTCGTAGCCTCTTCTTTGGCCATTTCTGTTCTGTCTTGTGTAGATGGCGCTGCTGACACGCAGACCGTTATTTCTGCGCAGGTTCTGATCAGCGGTGAAAAGACCTAGACAAAACAATGACATATATGTATATGTTAATGTAACCGTTGTTTTTTTATTTCCATGCTAATAATGAAAATAGGAAAATATATTTCAAAACTCAAATTTTGTTTTGAAAAGGCACTGACAGTGAAAGGGAATATGCATACAAAATGTGCTTCAATGACTGAAACCGCTGTCTCAGTTTCGTCTCTATAATTACAAACCAGGCATGTGAGGTAACTATATATGAACTATTATATATCCCAAACTTTATTATAACAGACAAAAAATACCTTTAAATGATTTATTGAATAGATTATGAGACCACAATAGGTACACAGCTTTTATGCACAAAATAGCCTTCTGGCCCATTGGAACAGCTTGGTCCATAAACCCTACGGTTCAGAGCAGAAGTAGCAACTACAGAATGTACTGACAGGATTTCAGTTTTTTCTCGCATTTAGGGCCAGTGTCAACATTATACACTGCGTCTTCTCTGATTTCAAAATACCTTTATTTCTCTCCCGAACAAAACACTTGTCGTACCACTCAAATGGCTCTTGAAGAAATCGATCTTCTTTCACTTGCCCTGCTCTGCGAGCTTCGAAAGTGGCGCGGTCCTCGGTAAGTGATGTTGGGCGGGTGTAACCTTGCGTGTTCGTAGTAAGCCCGTCCCTGATCCTGTGAAGTTCGCCTGCAGTGATTAAGGGTGAGCATTGAAAACGCCTTACGTTATCAATATATTTTGTAAACTGTTTACTTATGTAGCATGAGTAGTTTCGTATAATATTGTTGCTTAATTAAAGTTTATTGCGTTCTGTATATTGAAAGTGATTTTGAATTGTTTTATTGGCAGTTAGTTTTAATAAATCTAGATATTATGCAAGGTTCATTGAGAATTTTATGAATTGCACCTAAAAATTCTATACTATTATAATAATTAGCATAATAAAATTATTATTATTATCATCTGATCTAATAATGAAGTATCCAAATACTGGCTAGGCCTATGTTTACCGAAAGATAAAACTACGATCACAAAAAGGGACCAAAGGATCATTACCTGCGGCATTACATCACAAAAACAAAAGAAAAAAAAACAAGTTCATTTTATTTACCTTGTTCTACGTCAGCTGGCTGACACATGTACTGTAGCACGAGGTTACAGTTGACCTTGTGAGGGTCATCGTCCTCGCTTCCGCCACAACCGTGCTGATTGGTCCATTCCACGACCAGGTTGCTAGGTGACGCCTCTGGGTCGTCTCCACTTTGGAAATATTTCTGTAAAACATGGTCGATTGAGTTAGTAAAACCACTTTATTTATTGATTCATTTTCCTATTAAAGCTCCAGTACAATTTTCTGAAATTCAGGGGATGATTAAAGATTTGAAGAATTGGTTTTGTAAGTGGAATGTGTATCTCTGCAGGTTTCCACATAAAATACGTAGGCCTACCATTTGATATTGATCATCCTCGGTGGCGAACGCTTGGCTTGTCTTGTCCCCAACGTTATAACCTCCTCTGTTATTGTTCTGAAATAATTGAAAAGTGTATATTGCATTATTTTGAAATATTTGCAGAGACGTTATTTTAAAAGTCTATTCTTTTCTTTCTTTGTGTCAGTGTGTGAAAATATTTAAATGTTTGGGGTTTTGAGTTGTTAAATAACAGGAACATCGTTTAAAGAGTATTTGTTGCTGGTTGTTTAAGTTAAGGTGTGGAAAAATTAAGAAATGTATGGAAATCTATCTGAATATGGAAACAAACAGATGATGGATATTCTTCACAGAGCAAAGCAATATTGTAGTGAAAGAATCTTATCAAACGTGCATTTGTTATAAAAAAAATAATTGGAAAGATTCTAGCACGTTTTCTTTAGTCTTGCAGTGCCAAATGCCTCATTTAATGCTATCTCAGATGCTTCCATTTATTCCATTGATTTTAAATGATCGTGCCTAGCACCAAGTAACAAATTATGGGAGTCATACGAAAATAGAGAGCTTGATATCGTATAATGTTGCCAACTTCTTTAAGGGCCTTATCTGTCGCTGTTACGACTGAATTTGACAGAGCCTTTATTAACGCACGCCCTCCACACCTTGTCCGG